TGGTCTAGTCTTGGTTAAAATGAGCATTGTACCTCCTACCAAAAGACTTACAAAGGAAACAAAGATTAATTTGTTAATGTCTCTTTTTACTTCCTGATGTGTGAGCTAGACTAGCAGAGATCCAAAAGAGACATATGGTCAGTTCAGATACAAAAAAAAGCCCCAAAACTAAGAGGACCAAAATTTACCCCAAAGTATAAATGCAAGGCAAATTTACACTGATGCACTGAAAATTAATAAAATGTTGCAGGTATTATGGGGCAGATGGACTAATAGTACTGCTTTCAGTCCAGCATCTCAGGCACAATTTAGAGAAACCACAAAGCCATGTAATGGGAGGTACAGAAAGAGAAATCTCATTTGAATTGCAGAGAAACAGCAAAATAAACCCATAAATTTCCTCTGTAAGAACAAGGCAGTAAGTACCTCTGAATGGAAGACAATGTCCTCCTAATAAAGACAGAAGACACAAGATAGGATGAGTGACAGCAAAAGGCTCTGAAGCCAAAAGCATAAAGTGCCAAGATTGTGGGTGAAATAGATGGCTCAACACTTCAACAATTTATTGTTGGAAGTTTTTATCTCCACATATTTATAGAATCTGTTCTCTGGGGCGTCAAAGCCAAGATATTTCCCCCCCATCCCATTCTCACACACACTGAGAGAGAAGGAAATGCTAATATTTACAAGAAGCACAGAGCTTTCATGTTACTTCCACCGTGGTTCAGTAGCTATGTAAGAAGTCTAGCAATAAACAAAAAGTGGTTGTGTGTCTTGTGTTATTGTTACAGCACAAGGGGTCAGGAATCATGCATGTGTTTTTTGGCATTTAGTCAAATTTACAGGACTGTTATGGAAAGTTTATTTTCACTGGCTGCTTACACGAGTGACTACAGGTGGCAGAGACCAACGTGCTTGGATCAGCACTTCTGCACTACACAAAAAGTGACCTGTGAAAGCAGGAAAGCAGTGCTAAATTAAGAACAAAAAAAGAGCAAAAAGACTGCCTTTCACCAAAGTTGACTACAGTAAGCCCTATCAAAATGCTCAAAAAACAAGAGGGCCATTTCTTTCAAGAGCTTCTAACATATTCTTGAATAATATTGTTGAAATCTCAAACAGTTTTCACTGAAGTGGACTTATTTTACAGGGCACTATCACTACGGAAGCAGTTAAAAAAACCCAAAACAAAGGAACAACCAGAAAAAAACAAAAAACAAAAGCAAGACCACCTGAAAAACCAACTTAGCTTTAGATAGAAAAAGAAATTATTGTACCACATTTTAAATTGTGGCTTGTTTGGCCAATTTAGGAATGAATTCAGGCATTTATAAAGAAGAAATACATCCTGTTTTTAAAGAAAGGATAATATCAAAGCTCCAAGTGTCAAAATTTGACTAAATTTATAACACTCTTTTATCTCCAAAGTCAATACAAACCTACTTACAGGACTATTTACAAAAAGTGCTTTAGCCAGGAAGATCAGTAAGAGTAACTCAATAAGAATGTCTGGCTAAAAACTAAGTGCCATTAACAAATTCTGGGGATGATATAATTATTTTTTGGAATAATTATGTATTGCTGCTAGTCTCACTTCCTTCCTCCTCCAAGGTCAGGGGAAATAAAACTTAATCAGAAGTCTACTTTCTTCAAAAGACTTGTGTTAAAAGGAAAGCAACTAATGAAACTGTTAGGAGATAAGAATGGGTAGATAAGCCGTGTCACAAAATTAATACGGATGTTTTAAAAATAAGATTTCCTTTAGATCCAGCAATCTAAGAAATTTATTTCTTTAGAAGTAGATTCATAGAGCAGCTGTTAAAAGCAAGGCTGCACCAGCATTTTCCTAGATAAGGAAGAGAGGAGTGGCACTGTACAACCTGGACTCCATCCTCAGCTTTAGAGTTCTGATCTGCAAGCAGTCACTTTTGAATTTCAGAGGTACCGAAGCAAACAATGCAGGCTACAATTTCTTTCAGAGAAAATGCTCGTACTGTCCCACTATCTTGAGCTTTGTGGAAAGTCTGAATAGCTCAAGGGGAATCATCCTCCAGAACACCAGGTGCTGGGCTTCTCATTTTCCATGTTTGAGAGCCCACTGCTGCTCCCTGTCTCTTCCCACTCGCTCACCTTTGCACAGTGCTCTCTCAGATCTTGCCTTCTTATCCCACACCTCTGAGCTGTCAGCCTCTGCTCACCTTCCTGCTTGCCTAACACCTCGCTCACCCTCATCCAACAATATCTGACACTCACCCTCAGCCTGTAATTTCTAGTCCTCTATTCCATATAAAACCATAACCTTCAATCTTGTTATGCTCCTCATACTCATTTTGTTTTCTTTCCAGTCATTAAAACTCCCACTTACTACAAAATGGTCACTCAACCCAATTCTCCTTAACCCTTTAAGGAGCATTTAATTCCCTGTGAATACCTTCATATGACTGCTCTGCTCTTTGGTTTCTGTGACTCTACCCAAAAAGGCCCCCACTGTTCTTCACAGACTCCCAAGTTCTCCAGTTGCTTCTCTCAACTATTTTACCTCTGCTTTCCATAAAAAGATATGTACCATTATGGATCTCCAATATGACTCAACAACACTGAATGCACTATGAATTCATAGCAAAATTTCACCCTGTTTCACCCAGGCTTCCTCTGCTATAAATGCCTTATTTTTTCCCTTTACCTCACAAAGGCTGCCTCCTCCAACTCCATGGTACCAGCAGTGACAAATCCATCTGTTACCTTAGGCCTCATCTTATTGTACCATCCAATACAGATGGATATTCCTGACATTTTCCAAGAGAAATCTAAAAAGATCTGACAGAACTTAGTTATCTGACATTCTAAGCAAGTAACCAAACCTTCCCTTATCACCTGTACACCCATCTTCTAAACTCAGAAAAATTTCAGGCTGCACATTTCTCCTTTTTGAGTGGACATTACACTATGGTGCAGACATACTGACTTGGCCTCATATTTTCTTTTGATCAAAAATCACAGAATGGTTTGGGTTGGAAGAAATTCTAAAGATCATTTGGTTCAAACCCCCTGCCATGGGCAGGAAGTCCTGCCATTAGACCAGGTTCCTCAGGGCCCCATCCAACCTGGCCTTCAACACTTCCAGGGATGTCCATCCCCAGCTTCCCTGGGAAATATATTCCAGTGTGTTACCACCCTCAAAGTAACAAATTTCTTTTTAATATCTAATCTAAACCTACCCTCTTTCAGTCTAAAGCCATTTCATCCTGTCCTATCATTACATGGCCTTGTAAAAAGTCCGTCCTCAGCTTTCATATGGGACCCTTTAGGTATTGGCAAGTGCTATAAAATCTCCCCAGAGCCTTCTATTCTTCAGGCTGAATACTATAAATCTGCAGAGAACCTTTACAAAAGTCCTAGTTTCCTGTAAGAAAGAATGCCAGAAGATGGGCAATTATTTGCACAAAGTCCTAGGACATTTAATGTCACCTTGATGCATAGGACCTTAGAGGATCTCTTAAGTTTCACTCTTCGCTGCATCACACACTGGTTAATCATCAAAAATAGCACAGAAAAGGCACAAAGTTCTTGTGGAAGAACACTTAATCTTGTACAGCCACAAGTGATACAACTTTCCACTACCAAGTTCCTTATGCATCTGCATGAGTCCCCTTCTGTACTTCGGACGAAGTAACTCAGGGCTTCCTTATTTTGCTTCTTGCATAAATATTGGACTGAATCACGAGGATGTAGGCTTGTAGTCTCTGTCAGGTGGGGAAGCAGAGCTCTCCAGAGTGACAAAACAAGTACAGTTATTTCTGATTTATATGTGAGGAATGCAAACACACAGAGACGGGGACTTCCAAAGAATCTACGGGATGAAACACTCAGTGCATGCCAACTTCCTTACTCTGCTTATGACTTGGAAAACAACCTTCATACTTTGCAGTCTGGCTATTTCTAATTTTGAAGGCTACAGAGGAAAGGAAAACAGCCTAGTAGCACACTGGATCAGTACATAGAGCATCTCTCAGCTCACTCAACAGCAAAGCACCTGCACTTCTCCAGCTGCTTCCAAGCCAGCAGGTATAACAATACAGGAAAGACAGATCATAAGGACTCTGCTGACAGCCATCCAAAACAATGCAGCCAGTGCAATGAGCCAGGAAGGGAAAGGAATCACAGGCCTTCACAGAGCAACATGGGGCTAGACCAGGAAAACACACCAGGCTGAATGGTAGTGGCTTGACCACACAAGATTTTGATGGCATGACTTAGCTGGACATAAGATCCCACTTTAAGAGTTTTTTCCTCGACCCGAAATAGTTTGTGGTCTAGAGATGGGACAAGGATCCACGGACTTGTGAATTCTCATTCCCTCTCTGCCACAGGCTATTTCATCACCCTCAACTCCTGTGCCTCAATATCTCACCATCTATTTCACTGAAGTATTGTGAAAGTCACTGGAAATTTGTGGAAAGAGAAATAAAGATAGACACATATGAACTATTACAGCTAATACTTCATTTGTTATCAAGTGTCAACCTTTAGTGCTATGTAACATACACATTTTTCCTGCATGAATTAATTTAACCCAAAATTATTAGAGCAGTAAGGAAAAGTTCATGATTATTTATATGCTACAACTCCATTCTCCAAAATGCACGTCATTTTTGGAAAGTGTACTTTTCCATCCTTGAAAAGGGCTTAAAGGAAATAGTAAAACTATCTACTTCTCAAAGTAAATCACTGCCCACTCTATTTTAAATAATGATTACAAATGACTGCTGCAAATAAAAACAGTTTTACATTTTGAGGATACTGCTTACAGTTAGCCCCATTCTCCACCTGATAAGGGTTTAAATAAGGATTCAATATTGCTGAGGATAGGCTACTGAAAAGGCTGTTCAGCAGTTTCAAGCCATGATCATGACCCTTCAGGAGAGAGCAAATTCAAAGAAGTTAATCTCTTAACCATTAAAAAACTATTAGAATAAACACATTATCAATATATCTCTTACCTATGAGGATCCTGCTCTTGGCAATGCCATTCTTAACCTCATCATTGATCAGGTCTGTAAGGCCCCGGCACATGGAATCAATGCTTTCAATGTGTTCAGGACAGTCATTACAGATCTTATACCTGTCAAACCACACATTGGAAAAGGCTCCTTTCATGGGTGTATATGGCCTAGAGTGGTGGAACAAAAGAAAACAAAGATTAACCAAGCACAGGATCAAATGCCTTGTCATATGTATTAAATAAAAAAAAAAAAATCAGTGTATCTCCAGCAAAGGAGAGAATATCCAGCCACATTGCATTTCCTTGCATTGAATTCATGGTCCTTCAAGAATGAAGCCAACATTTGGAAGCTATGTAAATGCAATTTTCAGCCAGTTCAGTATTAAGGTTGGTTAGGTCAGCTAAACATTTGAAATCTTAAACCTGTCAAGAAGTTCTTAATCCTAAACAAAGTTAGGGTTGAAATCCATGCTGGAATACGATAAACTGAAGTAACTTCTAAACAAGACAGCTTTGCAAGAGCTAACTTTATGTAATTCAATTGCCTAATTCTTGACAAAACTGACAGGGGATGGGTATTATGAACCTCTAGGTATTAAAAAAAACCTGCCAATTTTTCTTTCTGTCAAATAAATACAGCCATCCTCATCTTAATGGGGCAGGTATCTCATAAACATAACTGAAAGAAATGCCATGTGCTTACTGGACTGGTGCACAAGCAAGAGTTATGATACTCCTCACCATAATACTTTGTAGTCAGAATGTTATTTTAAGTGCTTCAACAGGCTGCCCAAATCCTAGATAATCAAGAAACCTTCAATTCAAAGAAGCCTTTTCTTTGGTTTTAAATAAAGATGATTAATAGAGCCCTGAAATCCCAAGAAAGGTGATCTAATTGCCTTGCAATGGCTCTACAATATATTACAAAACATACTGCTATGAGATCGATCATCTCAAACAAAGCCCCTTGAAACCCTTATTTGCTATGTTCAACCAGGGCAAATTCTTCACTTTTACTTAAGCTTGGATCAGATTACAATCACTATCCACAAAACAGACAGTTTTTGATACATTTCTGGATGGGAACACACTGAAAATGCTAAAGTTGACTTCCGTGCTGTCTCTGGAATTTTTTCAATGCTAGGATTAAACAAAGCCACAACTAACCTAAAATGAGAAAGCCACTAATTCAGTTATCTTAATGAAGGAACAAATTCTGCCTTTATTAACACCAGGGAGGCCTCACATATGCAAACAGCTATTTCAAAACCAGTACTGCCACTAGGATGAGTGTTCAAGATAATACTATTTGGACTATTCAGTCATAAAAGTAAAAACGAGAGAACATAGGTTTTCTTCTGCCTGTTGTCATGAACACAAAAAAAAAAGCCATGACTTAAAAATTGGTAAGAAAAATATACTGAAAGAGGCAACAAACAGCAACAGGTAGGTACAAACAGAAACACTACAGGTTCATCTTTTTCAGCAGAGCTTCAAGGTACCTAAAATGTACTGTTATTGAAAGTACCATACAGTATGTGGTCAAGTGCCTTAAGTAATCCCTCATTTCTTTAATTCAAAACAAACTGTATACTCAAGCACCAGAATTTTTAAAATTGAGCTATTCGTTTTCAAGGTAGCCCTTACCTGTCTATTAAAAAGCTAACTCCAAAATTAAAGGAAATTCAGTGGAAAAATCTTGTATACCCAGCAACTTAAAGCTGTGTTTAAAAAATAATATTAAAATTATTTGCTTTCTTGATTGTCTTTTCTTCAGAATTCTGTCTCCAGAAATGAAATGATCAACACCTAAGAAATAAGATTACAAACATCTAATTCACAAAAGTCACATTTCTAAGAGCAGACCTTCCAGTGAAATCTGTCAAGAGCAGAATCAATGGAGTTTCTGGAAGTCACTTGGACAATGTGACATAAAACAGATGAAATGCCTGGGTAAACAGCATTTAATCCATTATTTTAGCTTCTCTCAAACACTTTTAGATCAATCCTGGTTAAAATGTTTAGTAGCAGAGTGCTTCATTTTCTAGTAAAATCAGGGTACCTAATATCTGAGTAAGAAAAGATATGAAAGGTTTTAGTATTACTATAGCATGTTGACCTGGATTTATTATTACAGCAGGTTAACCTCCAGGATTTTTATGGAACATAGATACATATATATACTGCATTACAGCAATTTACTTTTACATTCCATAAATATTAAAACACGTTTCCCCACAACTAAATGACAAGCTCATGACATTTAAAATAGATCAAAATTCATCATGAGACTGTAATACTTGATCAGATGTTGAAACTCAGGACTTCTACCTCCTGTTTTTGTTAATTCTTCATAAGATAGATGAAAGACCAACGTCTTTCAAGACCACAGGAAAAGACCCCCAAGCAAACAGACAAGTAGCTTTCAGCTGCCCCAAAAACATCCTTGCGAGCACTCTTGATTTCTCAGAAATGCATTAAAAATAACCTTTACATAAAGCTGAGAAGTAAGATTCTTTTAGTGGTTCACCCAACTGGCACATCTGTTTTAGTCATTCACCTTTTTCTTTAAATAATTCCTTTATTAGCTGGCACACTACAACTCAGACATTACCATGGTAAACAAATATGTTTGGCATGGAACCATCTGTACAGCTCCAAGAATACAGCACCAAATTTTTTCATACAATTAAACCACAAAAAAATAAAATTCCCTATGTTACAGTGATGTGAGCAGCTGGACTGAAATATACAAAAGCAAAAAAAAAATACAGAGTGCAGTGGAAACTCCATCCAACAAGACCAACATGGTCAGTTAAGGACAATGTCAGACCAAATAATCAGCTTTAAGTTTGGAATTGTTTTTGCTTTCTAAGTTTAATTAAAACTCATACCATCAGTCCATCTGTGCCTCACTTTCTTTATTCTCTTTTAAAAATTATACTAGAAATAAAGCTCTGTCCCTAAAACTGTGGACTGTTGAAAGTGGAAATGAAAATACAGAGTCCCCCAAGCTGTGTGGACAATTTTTCTTATTTGGTTTTAAGGGCTGTGTGTGAGTATGTTTTGCTTGTTCTGAAGAACATACAAGATTCAAATCCATATAAGAAAATAAGAATCAAGAATCCTCTCTCTGTGTAGATCAAGCTTCCAAACTTGTATCCATTTTTAAGACACACTTGAACAAAAGTTCAATTTGTATGAATTTCTTTCTTAACATTTAAATGTTAGGAGCATGGACAGCAAAGGAGACACAGCTAGTATCAAACATTGTTTAAGAAACTGCAGGATCAGAAGGATTAAAGTATTAGGAGGATTAGAATCTTTAAAATGCTTCCCAACACCCCCAATAACTCTAAACATGTTTTCTGATTACTTTATAGCTCCTATTTGTAAGGGTGTTGTTGTAGATTAATACACCTCTTGCATGAGAGTGCAGTCTCAAGAAGATCCTACACAACACTTCAATGTCTAAAAAAGGAAAACATATCCTGTAATATCTTTGTAAGTACTTATCATCCTTTCCATCTCAGACAGAAGTAATTTTCACTGTTGACCTCACTGCAAAGTTTCAAAGCAATACATATCATTACAGATTTTACAAATTCAAGATAGATCAGCTTCTGCTAACCTGAGTTCTGTAGTAATAAAAAAAAACACGATGAAAAGTAGGTAGCAGCAACACCATCTATCTCCACCTTTCTGAAGCACAAATATATCCTCTAGACCTTCTTACTCATGTTTAGAATTGTGCCAGCTAGTCTGAAATTATCTTAACAGAAGTGGAGAGCAACCCAATGATGCTACACAAGGTTCAAATTCAGATCTCAAACCACGGCAAATTCCATCTCCAAAATGATGCTGTTAGCATAGTGATTCACATAAAACTACAGGTGGTTTCGTTCATTACCCAATAAATCACTGTCCCTATCCAACATTTTAGGTTAGAAGACAAGCCAGCAGTTCTAGCTGCTTTAAATGAGACAGCACATTGAAAAATGGTAAGTATTTTTCCCCCAACTCTTTCTCCTGATGCATGATTGTATCACTGCCTTCATGCTCAGCACTGTGATCATTCTGCATTAGCAGACACATAAACCCAGACCTCTGGTGCTGGCTTACAGGCTTCCAGACAGAACTTCCCGAAATGCCAGACAGAACTGGAAATTTATAGTGAAGTTGGGCTTCAAGATTGAAATAAAGACTAAGAAAGATAAAAAATTACTGAAATCCTCGATTTTTCCTGCTTCCCAAACCCATCTCCTCTCAGTTAGGAGGTAGGGCCTCTAAAATTGCAATGTTGTCTTTCGGAGGACCGTGCATCCCTCTGAAAAATCTACCGGGCACACTACCACAGTAGTTCCACATTGTTCTGCTGAGACTCCAGCTGGAGAACTACATCCAGTCCTGGAATCCTCAGAACAGGAAAGACATGGACCTGTTGGAGCAGGTCCAGAGGAGGGCCACAGAAATGATCAAATCACCTTTTCCCACAAAGAAAGGCTGAGAGAGTTGGGTTTGTTCAGCCTGAAGGAGATAAAGCTCCAGGGAGATCTTATTGAAGCCTTCCAGTACTTAAAGGGACCTATAAGAAGATGGGAACACACCTTTTAGTGGCACCTGCTGCAACAGGCAAAGTGGGAATGACTTTCAATTTAAATTGGCTGGATTTAGACAAGATATAAGGAAGAATGGTTTTTACAACAAGGATGCTGAAACACCAACACAGGTTGAATAGAGGTGGCAGATGTCCCACCCCTGGAAACATTTTAGGAAGGGCTGGATGGGATTTCAAGCCACATCATCTAGTTGAAGATGTTCCTGCTTATTGTTAGGGGGCGTTGAACTAGATGACCTTGAAAGTCCCTTCCATTTCAAAATATTGAGTGGTTCTAGAAGCAAGTCTTGACTCTCTTAAAATGATGGCAGGTTTTTTGAATGAAAGCATATTACTCCCTAATCCCAAATTCTCTCATAGCATAATGCCACTGCTGAATTTCAGTATTACATTTCAACAGAAAATTTAGGTCCAAAATATGATTTTTAATTCCCACTGTCTGCTTGAAGCAGAAAGCAAATTTTAAAAGAAATGGGGAGGAAAGCAGAGAATCCAGCTAGTCAAATAAGAAGTGTAAATCAGAAACTCTAGTCCAAGGTACATCTTGTGT